CTCTCACGCACAGCTCTGAGGAGCAAAGAGTTCTGCCCAGTGTCACTGTTTTGTGACCACCATCAAAAAACTCTTTAAATCTTATAAAACATATGACATGTCCCGAATAGGTAAATCCATAGCACCAGAAAGCAGAAGGGTGGTGCTAGGGGTTGGGGGAGCGGAATGGGCAGTGACTGCTGACGGGTCCAGGGCCTCGTCACGAGGTGATGGAATGATCTGGAACTAGATAGAGGTGGTGGTTGCACAACATTGTGAATGTACTAAAAGCCCCTGAATTGTTCACTTTAGTCAATTTTATGTTATGTGAATCTCATCTCAATTTAGAACGGCGGGCAGAGAGGTGTTATTGTGAAGTGATCATTGTGATGTCCGCAGGCCACATATAAATTTGACACTGTCACTGGGAGCCCTGCAAAAATAAATGTGCATGGCGGGGAATCGCCGACAATTGCAAGTGTCTCAGACGAGTATAAAATTATTGTTTTGAAAGACAGCATAAGCTTACCCTTTCTCTGCCATAACAGTTCTGCAAGCTCGCTGCCCACCTGCGACGAGTCTAGAGGAGGAGGTGTTATCTCTAGTCCTCCCCAAGACATACTGAGGTAGGTCCGACCCCCCAAGGGGGCAGAAAACTGTGGAGCTGTGACCACCTGAGAGAAACACCCCATGGACAGGATTCTACCTGTTGACGAGATCAGTGCTGAAGTTCAGCATCAGAAGACCAGCGGAGGTGCCAGCCACATGAAGCGGTCACACAGCACAGTGTCTGTCCTTGAGACCTAGTCCCCGAAAGTCAGCCATAATTTCAACTCGTGGAAAGAAAAACGTGACAAGCCCTGTCCTCACAGACCTGAGTGCCAAGTAATCCCCGGGCTGACAATGGTGACACGCATGAGGAAGTACCTGGAAGGAGCTGGTGGAACCAGATGGCAGCTTCCTCCAGCTGGACTGGCAAGACCCTTTGACCTCTGTGGCCCACCGGGGCAGAGGACAAGCCGGAGGATGATTCTAGGCTCTGAAGCCCAGGTTTCCCCGAAACACTCCGCTGGGCACACAGGGGAGGGTCCCCTAGACTGCAGAGCCTCAGGTGAGAAGCCAGGCAGGCCCATCAGCTCGGGCGACCAGGTGCCATCACCAGCTTCCTCTGGGCCCTGAGTGGCCTCCCCCACCCGGGCTCGGTGACCTTAGCCTGCAGTGACACTCAGTACAGCAGGCGGCCCCACTAGGGGAGGAGAGGAGAGGAGCGGGGAGAAGGGGAGAGGACAGGGCCGCCCGCCAGGCCGCAGCTCGCTCCCTCCAGGGCCACTAGATGGAGCGGTTTCCCCAGAAGAACCAAGAAACCAACGGAGCATCCAGAGAGCATTCAGCGATCCCACTCAGGCTGGAGCAGGAATTTGGGATTTTTCATCAGCAGGGAGGGACAGGCAGGGCCACTTCAGTCGGGCTTCCTCCTGGCGGACCTTCCTTGGGGGCCAACTGCCTCCTTCTAGTCCCCCAGCTTGCCCTGGCCCGAGGCCCTGGTCCCTCTGCCTGGGACGCGCTTCAATACCTAACACGTGCTCGCGCTCTCACCGCCTTCAAGTTTTTGCAGAAATGTTGCCTTTGAAATGAGACCTATTTTAACCACACTACTTAAACTTACTACTGGACCTCCCTTCTCTGGCTCTTACCACATTTCAACATTCTCTATAATTACTAATTTAAAACGTTAACTGTTTATCGTCTGTGCCCTGCCTAGAACTAGAGGGCAGGGGGTTTTGTGCCTTGTTCCCAGATAGATCTTGAATGCCCGGCAGATATTCGTGGGACTGAACTAGTCACGAAGTGCCAGGCACTGTTTTCTGCCAGCTCAGCTCACGCCCTCGCTCACCCTTGCCCACCTTCCGTCCAGCCCCGCACTTCCTCTTCCTTAGCTTGATGAAGCTTATGCCTTTTTCGTGGCATGCCTGTCACCCACAGCACCCCTGACCACTGCAGGAGCATGACTTTGGGCGTCCTTTCCCTGCATGGAGACCCTCAGAGCCAGTGCTTGTGGACAGTTCGCCAGGTGACCATGGGCAGCAGTACCACGATGCCCCGATGCCAGCCTGCCTGGTGTTCCCACGCCAGAGGTGCCACTGCGGCAGCCCTCTGCCCTCCGCACCTGTGCCCGCCCTTCCGCAGCTCTGCACGGACAGCAGGCCGGCATACCTGGACTCCAAGAGTGGCCAGGGCTGTCGGCCTCCTTCCCACCTGCTGCAGGCCCGAGCCCAAGAACCCCACCTCTGAGAAGCTCTCCAGGGCAGTGTCCCCAAGAGGTGGGGGGTGGGGGCAGGGCCAGGGTCTCAAAGTTCCCCCAGGTGCTGCTCAGGAGGCGGGTCTGTCAGTCCATCTGGCACCCTCGGGCAGGTATGGGAATGGAGGTGGGGGAGCATGGCGGACGCATGGCGTGGCGTCAGGACACCTCCCTCTCCACATGACCCTGGGTACGTCTTGCCTGGCCTGCTCCAAGGGCTCAAGGGCTCGAGGGCTCGGAATGGCAGCAGTCAGTACACCACAGTCCCCGAAGGGGACAGGGGAGGGGACAGACTCTTGGGCATTGTGTCCGTCTGTTCATCTGGCCATCTCTGTGGGGTCCACGGTGATGACAGAAAGTGGCGTGGGTTCAGTCAGGCTTTCCAGACGGAGCTGGGAGCTTCTTGCTGAGCAAAGCAAGCAGGCAGGAATGTCAATTGACATATCTGCCTTGGAACCTTGAGCTTGTGTCTTGGCTGGGACATCCTGTTCCCAGAATTATGATACATCACAAAGATGTACTGTAAGTTTGCCTTTTGAATTAAAATTTGCTGTGTGTGGCACCAGATAAAAGCTGCACACGGAGATAGCACTGATGGCAAAGTTTCACTTTGTTTCGCAGTCACTGTGGAACTACTGGTGGCTGTGTCCCGAGGCGGAGCTCGTCCCCGCTCGCGTCCCCGCCTCCTTCCTCACTGCGCAAGGCCATGATTCCCCAGGCCTTTGGCACACATCCGACTTTGCTTGTGCCTCCTAGGTCAACCTTCAAACTTGGCTCTTACTAAACAATTTATTTTTAAAACTTTTCCTCTCCAGCCTTTGATTTTGGTTGACAACGAGACCCCTGTGGGGTGGCTGGCACCCAATGGCCTGGCTGTGGTCACCCACTAAGGGACCAGCCTGTGTGAGCCAGGAGGGCAAGGATCAGAAAGGGCGGGAGAAGGGGATGTGGGGGAAGGCGGTGTGTAGACAGATGGAAGGGAGAGAGGGCAGGAAAGCGCAAGAGGCAGACACCTGCCGGGAGCATCGCCTTTCCTGCCTTACCCCATGTGACCATCAAGCCAGTCCCCCAGGTTGGGCATGGGGGTCGCCATTTTCCAACAGGTCACAGTGCACGTGGGAGAACCAGGGTCGAAATCTAGGGCTGACTTGGACAATGCTCTGCTGACAATTATGAGTACCTTGAAGAAAAGTTAGGAGCATGAAAAAGACTAAAACAACAGCCACAGGAGAAAACCAGCCATGCCGTCTGTGCCAGCCCTGCCCACCCAGCCCCCGGCCGTTGGGAGCTGAGCACCAGGTGGGCACTCTCTTGGCCTCTGAGCTGTCCCTATCCTCACAAAACCAGGCCTTGGGGCTTTCTTCGTTTCGGATGGCCCTGGGTCCTGGCGGGGAGAGCTTGGCCTGCAGCCAGGAGCCCTCGGCAGTCCTGTGTTCCCAGGACGAAAGCTGCCCACCCAGGCTTAGAGGAAGGGCTGGAACGCCACTGGGGAGCTTCCGGCCTCAGGGAGCAGGGCTCGCCGGGGGCCAAGTGCAGGCACCATTTCAGGGCCCTCCCTGGAGCGGAGGCAGGAGGCCCCTGGTGGCCGGCGGCTGTGAGTCCTGATGCCTGAGCTGAGCTTGTCCCCTCCCTGCCTTACCCCATGTGACCATCAAGCCAGTCCCCCAGGTTGGGCATGGGGGTCGCCATTTTCCAACAGGTCACAGTGCACGTGGGAGAACCAGGGTCGAAATCTAGGGCTGACTTGGACAATGCTCTGCTGACAATTATGAGTACCTTGAAGAAAAGTTAGGAGCATGAAAAAGACTAAAACAACAGCCACAGGAGAAAACCAGCCATGCCGTCTGTGCCAGCCCTGCCCACCCAGCCCCCGGCCGTTGGGAGCTGAGCACCAGGTGGGCACTCTCTTGGCCTCTGAGCTGTCCCTATCCTCACAAAACCAGGCCTTGGGGCTTTCTTCGTTTCGGATGGCCCTGGGTCCTGGCGGGGAGAGCTTGGCCTGCAGCCAGGAGCCCTCGGCAGTCCTGTGTTCCCAGGACGAAAGCTGCCCACCCAGGCTTAGAGGAAGGGCTGGAACGCCACTGGGGAGCTTCCGGCCTCAGGGAGCAGGGCTCGCCGGGGGCCAAGTGCAGGCACCATTTCAGGGCCCTCCCTGGAGCGGAGGCAGGAGGCCCCTGGTGGCCGGCGGCTGTGAGTCCTGATGCCTGAGCTGAGCTTGTCCCCTCCCTGGGGCTCTGGCCGTGCAGGCCCAGGCCTGGGCTCTCGAGGTGTAGTGGGGTGAGTAGTGGCCCCCAAAACACATGTCCACATCCTATCACCAGGGCCCTGTGAGTGTGACCATATGTGGAAAAAGGGTCTTTGCAGATGTAACTGAATGAAGTGTGTCAAGATGAGATCATCCTAGATGATCCGGGAGGGCCCTAAATCCAATGACAGGTGTCCTTACGAGAGACAGAAGAGAGACACACAGAGGAGAAGGCCGTGTGACGACGGAGACAGAGACTGGAGTGATGCAGCCACAAGCCAAGGAAGGCCTGGAGTCCCCCGGAGCAGGGAAGGCGACGAAGGACCCTCCCCTCGAGTCTCCGGAGGGAGCTGGGCCCTGCCACACCTTGACTTTGGACTCTGGCCTCCAGAGCTGCGAGAGCCAATTCCTGTTGTTTTGAGTCCCCCGGTGGGAGGTCATGTGCTGGGGCAGCCCCAGGACACTCCCACGCGACGGATGGGCCGAGCCCAGAGTTGGGGGTGGCAGCTGGGCCTTGGTACCCACGTCACCCAGCACCTGGCTGGGGGCCGGGGCAGCCTTGGGAAGGCAGCTCCCTTCGGCCTTGGCTCCCTTCGGCTGCCCCGTGACACGAGGAACGGCTGTGCACTGAGCGCGCCCGACACAGCTCCAGGAATGGGGGACTGGGGACGCGTGTGCACGACCGGCTTCCACCGCGTGGTCGGTGCTGGTGGCTTCCCTGGGGTCAGTCTGAGGAGCATCCACATACGTAAAGCAAAATGAAGGAGGAAGTCATGAAACCACACTTCTATCCAGCACAGGATTTTTTCTAGGTTTTTTTTTTCAATGTTTTTTCTGGAGAATTTTGGACACGTGCCCAACCCAGAGAGCATGAAACTGCACGAAGCCACCCGCCGGCACCACCCACGACCCTGCGTGGCCGAGGTGCATCCTCTCTCCTCTCGTCCACCTCCCCTGGTGAGGCCAGGAGGCCCGGGACCTTCTCTGCGACAGGCGACCTCAGCCAGCAGGCAGGGCCGGGGCCTCCCGGGCTGCAGACCCAGGTTTAGACACTGGGGAGGAGGAGCGGGGGCTGGGGTTGGGAGGCCTCCCTCTCCTGCTCTGGCACCGTACGACGAGGGGTCGAGGCAAGAGGGGAACTCTGAGGCTGGCCCAGGAGGGGCAGGTACAGTAGCTGGGTGCAGGGCGGTGGGGCTGTCCCGGATCTGTGGTTCTGTCCACTGTGCTGAGGACGCTGGCGGGGAGGAATCTAGCAAAAGGGTCCAGGGTGAAGCCAAGCCATCTGTGCGAAGTGAGGGACCACTTTGAGAGGGTCTAAGCCAGTGGGGGAAAGGCCAGGCCAAAGGAGGCCATGGGCCACCTTTGCAGTGGGGCAGAGGCCAGGGCACCCGTTCCCCCCAGGCCAGCTGTGCTGTGGCTGACATGTTCTGCTGGCCTGTGTGTGAACGGAGGTGGTCTGGGGAGATGTGCAGAGCCTTGAGGGATGTCCTTCAGCCCGAGACACTAATTGGGGTGGTAGACAGAGATTGTGAGCTCATGTGTGGACAGGCTCTATATCTGGACTGGACGAGCTGTGCCTGTGCAGGTCCCCCTACCCCCACCTGTGCATCCTGCTGGGAAGGAGGTGTGGATGCAGTGGAGCACATGAGTGAAGGAAGGGGATGTCCAAGCTGCAGTCCCAGGAGACAGTGACTGGGGGAGCAGCGGATGGAAAAGCACATGGCAATGCCCCACGTCATGCAGGCCACTCCTGGATCCTGTACAAGGATCAGAGTAGTGAGTGGCTCATGGGATGAAGGATGTCTTGTCCCATGTGGGGCCAGTCCTCAAGTCCCTGGGATCCCAGAGGCTTAATGGGCCCTCATGGCGAGGCCAGTGGGGGGCAATAGTGCCAGGCCTGGGTGTCAGGACGTAGCAAGATCTACCCTGGCCAGGAGGGAGAAATACCTACCTCTCAGAGCAGGCCATCGTGGTGTTTGGAAGCTTGTGAGCCTGAAGCTCAGCTGGGCACTACCACCAGGAAGTGGCCACCCACCTGCTAACCGAGCTGCAGCTTCTCTCATGGCTGCACCTGCAGCTCTGGTTCCTGAATTTCCCCGAGGGGAGCCACCACTGTCCCTCTACTCTCCCTCCTCAGTGTGGCCACCACTGTCCTTCACTGTTCTTCCCAGTATGGTCACCCTCTCCCTTCACTGATCCTCCAAGTCTGATTACAGCTGTACCTTTACTGTCCCTCCAAGTGTGGCCATCAGTGTCCCTCTGCTGACTCTTCAATGTGGCCATCACTATCCCTCAACTGTCCATCCTAGTGTGGCCACCCTCTCCCTTCACTGACCCTCCCAGTATGACCACAACTGTCTCCATTGTGCACCCCCCACAAGTTGCCTCATGACTCTGGGCTGTCACCCAGGACCCAGACTCTCTCCACTCTCAAGTCTTAGCTATGGCTTCAGGCTGCCCCCTGTGTGCTTGAGAACGTCTGTCAGTGTCACATGCTTCCTGGTTCCTGCGCAAGGAAAGAGAACCCCCTCCTCTGTGGATAGACTCTGAATCCTTCGCTTTGGTCCGACTGGCCATTTGGGCTGCCCAGATCAGTAACAGTAGCCCAAGGAATGCCATATGTGGCCGTGGTTGGACCAATCAATTTGTGCCTGGCTGCCTCTGGATTTGGGGATGGGGGCTACCATGCCCTGAACCACATGGGGAGGGACAGATACATGAACAAAAAGGGGACCCTCTTAGTAAGAAAGAAGGGGGAATGGCTGCTGAAGAGGTAGCTAGCAGCATCCAGTCTCCAGGCATTCTCTCGGGTGATAGGAACCGCAGCCAGGAGGATCACACTGGGGATGACCAGAAGAGCCCTCCAGCCCTGCCAAGGCTTCCTAGCAGAGGGAAAGGCTCAGCCTTCCAGCTGCTCAAGACCACTGCTCAGCCTGAGGCCAACCTGGAGCCAGGCTATACCTTACTCCCCGCTGCCCATCCCCACTAGTGCCCACATTCCCTCTGGCCACTGGCCCGTGTCAACACTTGGGTGGAAAGGTACATGAGGCACACCCACGAATGTGTTCATTTTGAGGCCACCTGGAAATTTACATGATTCCCTATTTCTCCCTCTAGCCCAGAACTCTCTTTGGAGTTCCTGTCCCTTGTAACCAGCTCCTGCTTGATATCTCCACTTGGATGTTTCCAATGCGCAAATCCAAAACTGAACTTGTAGGGTTTCTAGCAAAATGGCTGACTAGAGGTGCATGTCCCTCCCACAGAAAAAGACCAGAACAACTAAGAGACACATAAATGTTGATGGAAGTGTCTGTGGAGAGCATAGGAGTGCAGCAGGAGACTGGCAAGATCCTCGCGGAGCATGAAAGCCCAGAATGACAGCAAGGATAAGAGACAGAGGCACATGACCTCAGCAGCCACATCTCTGCCACTTGGATTGGCGCAAGAGGGACTTTCCCTTGCATGGAAAAGATAGGATAGAGGATCCACACCAACCCCTATCCTCCTCACCATAGAAGCCTGCAGATGTTACTTCAGGAAGATTCCACAGCCCTTTCAAGCCCAGAGCCAAGTGTGGGGAGTTGCCTAGAATATGTGCACAGCATTGATCCAGAACAGGAGCACAAACTGTGCACTCTCCACCCCCCAACCCTTGTGACCCAAGATGATGAAGGATGATGCCATTTTGAAACCACAGCCACTACAGGAGCACACCCTGCCCTAGGGGACAGTAGCCATGAAGTTTCCCAGCCTTAAGACTCCACTATCATCCCTGTGCACCTGCATGAGATGCTACAATGCCCTGATCCCAGTGGCTTGAAGCCTGGGCCCAGGAGCAGCTGTGACCCCAGTCCCGAACATCTGGGAAGCCAATCCCAGGCCTGCTAAATAGACACACCTCCTTGTCCCCAGCCAGAGATCATACAGGCAGACTCACCTCCAGTAGACTGCCTCCCTTCTCCCCTCCCTATGCCAGTTGACTGAGTTCTGTGCACCTGAGCTCCTGGCCCAAAAACGCAGCTCAGGTGTTCCGACCCTAATGAACACACCCAGAGCCATTGGACCTTAAAGCATGTCTATGCCCTCCTGGAGAAGCAGCCAAGAGGCTTTGCCCTCGACAGTCCTGCCTTGCAACCTCACCCATTGCCTGAAAAGTGGCTGGCCAGGCTCCCTCTCCGCAGGCCTGCCTTGGGCCTCACCCACCACCTGAGAAGCCACCGGCTAGGCCATCTCTTAGCAGGCCCACCTTGTGACATTGCCCACTGCCCAAGAAGTGGCTCAGTAGCCTTACTATTGGCAAGCCTGATCCTGAACTGCCAAGGGAAGCACAACCTGGCACCTAGCCCTTACAAGCGATACAACGAACTGGCCCCTGGCAGACCCACACCCAGCTAGCTGAGCCAAAACATGCCCACACCCCTGGCTCAGAGGAACAGCTCAGGTGTCATGTCCCTGGCTAACTGGCTCCTGAGTCTTTGAGCCATTGAAACCCACACATCTGAATGCAAAATAGCTCAGCTGATGTGCCCCTGGCGGGCCCATCCCACGTCAAAGAATCAGTGTGGTGACACTTCCACTGGCAAAACAGTCCCAGAGATCCTGACATGCCACACACCTGCACCCCAAGCCTGAGAATCAACCCAGCAACCCATCCACAGTTAACCAGCTCCTGAGACAACTGACTAATGGAGTGCATGTGCACACCCTCAGCCTGAGAACCAACCCAGTGAGCCCACCCCTGGCAAAGCTGTGCAACTGTTGCCACAAACCTCCCAAGCCTATGCCACTGAGGCAGTCGCAAACATAGTAAACATGGATTACAGCTGAAGAAACTACACAGAGTCTACACTATTGCACATGACTTACCCAATCTGGAATAAAGCCAACATACCTTACCAAGTTGACACCTTAGGATTCTGACCATTTATGGAATAAAAGTAGAAATCAATGACAAGAAGAACTTTTGAAACTACTCAAATACATGGAAATTAAACAGCATGCCACTGAATGAGCAATGGGTCAAAGGAAAGATTAAGAAGGAAATTTAAAAAAAAATTTTGTGAAACAAATGGAGACAGAAACACAACATAGCAAAACCTATGGGATACATCCAGGGTAGTATTAAGACAAAAGTTTATAGCAATAAATGCCTACAACAAAAAAACAGAAAGAATTCAAATAAACCACCTAACAATGCACCTCAAGGAAGTAGAAAAGCAAGAACAAACCAAGCCCAACATAAGTAGAAGAAAATGAATAATAAAAGACAGAAATAAACAAAATTGAGGCAAAAAATGTATTACAAAAGATCGATCAAAAGAAAACTTGTTTTTTTGATAAGATAAAATTAACAATTATTTAGATTAACCTAAAAAAAGACCCAAATAAATAAAATCAGAAATGCAAAAGGAGACGTTACAACTGATACCCCCCAAACACAAAGGATTATTACAGACTATTACAAATAACTATATACCAATAAATTTGAAAACCAAGAGGAAATAGATAAATTCCTGGACACATACAACCTACCAAGACTGAACCAATAAGAAATCCAAAACCTGAAAAGACCAATAACAAGTAACAAGATTGAATCAGTAATAAAAAGTCTCTAACAAAGAAAAGCCCAGGGCCAGATGGCTTTACTGCTGAATTCTATCAAACATTTAAAGAAGAACTAATACCAATACTTCTCAAACAACTTTAAAAATTTGAAGTCAACAAAATTCTTACAAACCTCATACTATGAAGCCCGCATTACCCTGATACCAAAACCAGGCAAAGACACAATGACAAAGAAAATTACAGGCCAATATCCCTGATTAACACACATAAAAAAATCCTCAATAGCATACTAGCAAACCACATCCAAATCAAAAAGATTATACAGTTAATCAAGTGGCATTTATCCCAGGGACACAAGGATGGTTCAATACACGCAAATCAATAAACGATATACTACATCAACAGAATGAAAGAAGAAAACTTATGATCATGTTGATAGATGCAGAAAAAGCATTTGATAAAATTCAACATCCTTTGTGATAAAAACTCTCAACAAATTAGGTATAGAAAGAAAGTATCTTTTTTTTTTTTTTTTTTTTTTTTGACCTTTTTGAGACTGGCTGCACCGCTCTCAGCCAGTGAACGCTGTGAGCGCACTGGTCATACCTATATAGGATCCGAACCCACGGCGGGAGCGCTGCTGCGCTCCCAGCGCCGCACTCTCCCGAGTGCGCCATGGGCCCAGCCCAGAAAGAAAGTATCTTAACACAATAAAGGCTATATATGATGAACCCACAGTTAACATCACAAGAATGGGAACAAGACAAGGATGCCCACTCTCACTACTTTTATTCAACATAATACCAGAAGTCCTAGTCAGAACAATTAGGCAAGAGAAAGAAATAATGGGCGTCCAAATTAAAAAGGAGGAAGTCAGATTGTCCCTCTTTGCAGATGACATGATTATATATAGAGAGAAACCTCAGAACTCTACTAAAAACTCCTAGAACACATAAACAAATTCAGTATCAGCATAGAAAAGCCAGTAGCACTTCTATATACCAACAATGAACTGGTAGAAAATGAAATAAAAAAAAATCCCATTTACAATAGTAACATAAAAAAAATGCATGAAAAAATTTAACCAAGGAGGTGAAAGATCTCTACAAGGAAAACTATAAAATAATAATTAAAGAAATTAAAGAAGACACAAAAAACGGAAAGACGGGCCGGCCCGGTGGCGCACTGGATAAGTGCGCCGCTTGGGAAGCGCGGCGGCGCTCCCGCCCGAGGGTTCGGATCCCACATACAGACCGGTTCCCGCTCACTGGCTGAGCAAGGCGCAGGAGTGACCCCGAGGGTTGCGATCCCGTTGCCGGTCCCTGGGGACAAATGGAACAGAATAGAGAATTCAGAAATAAATCCATGTACCTACAGCCAAGTGATTTTTAACAAAGGAGCCAAGAACATACATTGGGGAAAGGACAGTCTCTTCAACAAGTGGTACTGGAAAAACTGGTGATCCATATGCAGAAGAATGAAACTAGACCATTATCTGTGAGTAGAAATGAAGAACAGCAGAAATGGTAAATGTATGGGTAAATATTAATTAATGAATAGTTATTTGCTCTTTATAATAATATGATTATTTAAAGAAAAAATTTAAAAGTGTATAGTAGTGTTTGGCAACTATAGCATAAATGATGAGGTGGAAAGGGAATGAATCTATACAGTGGAAAGTTTCTTACATTTATGTACAATATTAACTTTAAGTAGGCAGTAAAAAGTTCAAGATATATATTGTAATCTCTAGAGTGACCACTAAAAAAACAATGCAAACGCAAAGTGGTATAGCTAAAACGATAACAGATAAGTTAAAATTGAATTCTAAAAATATTTGATTAACCAGGCAGGAAAGGGTAACATAAGAAGAAAAACAGATGGGACATATAGTAAAAGCTTAGATCTAAATCCAACCATACCAAAAATTCCATTCAGTGTAAATGGATTAAATACTCCAATTAAAAGGCAGAGATTGTCAGAGTGGATAAAAGAACAAGGGTTTTGCTGTCTACGAGAGATGCAATTTACATATAGAGAATCAGATGGGTTGATAGCAAGAAGATGCAAGATGATATATTACACAAAGGGGAAGCATAAGAAAGTAGGAAAGGGTGTAATAACAGGCAAAATAGAGTTAAAGGCAAAGAGTATCACGTGAGATAAAAGGTAATAATGATAAAAGGGTCATTTAATCAGGGTCACATACAATTCATAAGTGTGTTTCTATTCAGTAACAGAGCTTCAAAATATATGAAGCAAAAATTGACAGAATAAACGGAGAAATAGATATTTCTGCAATTATAGTTGGAGATTTTAATACCTGTGCCTCAGCAATTGATAAAACTAGACAAGAAATCCATAAAAATATAGAGTATCATTGTGACATCATGAACCACAATGGAAAGCAAATAGGGAAACCTTGACCAATATGCCACAATGAGCTTTCCCTCTGCAACTTTCCTACCCCAACTGCAGTGCCTTGTTGGTAGATCATTTCATTCATTGAGAGACAAATGTGTGCCTGTTGGTTCTGGGGGCTCCAAGCCTTGCTACATCAAGCCCTTACCACACACGTATGGCTGGCACCCCAAAACCGACGTGCCTCCTTACATACTCTCTTCTCATGCCTCCTTACACGCTCTCCTCACGGCGCCTCCTCGGGCGCTCTCCTCACGGCGCCTCCTCGGGCGCTCTCCTCAGAGCGCCTCCTTGAGGCGCTCTCCTCACGCGCCTCCTTACACGCCTCCTCACACGCCTCCTTACACGCCTCCTTACGTGCTCTCCTCACGTGCTCTCATGATCCAATCATTTGCCGTGCACCGAGGCATCTAGAACTTTCTGTGCTGCCTGGGGTTTCTGGGAGAACTAGGGGTTTCTGGGAGCACACTTGGCTTTACCACAGAGGAGCTGGTAGATCCACACAGCTCCGGTTCTACACAGCTGTGGTGAGCTTTCCAGACCCTTCTGAGTGAGATTCCGGAGAGCTGCCCAGAGTGGAGAAGGTGAGTATACACGCAGAGGCTTTGCTAGTTTTTAGAACCGGGAGTGGCTGTGGGAGCCCATTAGCTGTAGGGGCCCATTAGCTGCCTGGGAAGGGGTGTACTTGTGGAGAGGGGCTCCTGGCTGCAGAGGTTGGGGGAGGCTGAGGGAGCGGGTTCCCTGTCTGGTTTTCGTGGGGTGGGGCGGGGAGTGCTGGCTGAGGTGTGAGGGCCGCTGAGTGGAAGACTCCCTCCCTAGGACCTGGAAAGGAAGGTTCGCTTGTGAGGGGAGCTTGGACGGGACGGCAGAGGCTACTGGCTGAAGGTGAGAACCGAAGGGATGGTTCCTGGATGAGGCGGCTGGAGGGTGGGACAGTTGGCTTCAGGGATGGGGGAATGGAGTCTTCCGGGGAGGGGCAGGCAGGGAGCGCTCTGGTGTGGCGGGCAATGACTAAGCATTTTTTGGGGCGAGAGAGAGTATGGCGGGCAATGACTAAGCATTTTTGGGGGCGAGAGAGAGTATGGCGGGCAATGACTAAGCATTTTTGAGGGCGAGAGAGAGTATGGCGGGCAATGACTAAGCATTTTTGGGGGAGAGAGAGTATGGCGNGCCCCCGCCGCGCTTCCCAAGCGGCGCACTATCTAGTGCGCCACTGGGCCGGCCCCTTATTTTTTTATTGAAACATAATGGATCACACACATTGGTGGGGTACAGAGTTGAATATCAATACCTGTGTACAATACGTGGTGAGCACATCAGGATAATGAGCAGACTCATCTCTACAAAATGAACCAAAACGAAACATAATCATTCTTTGTGACCCTTAACCACTTTCTCGTTACCCCTGCCCTTTTCCACCTCTAATAACCACGGTTCTGTTCTCTCCTTTTGAAAGTTCAACTTATTATTGTGATTGTTGTTTGTTTCTTGTTTATTTATTAGCTCCCACTTATGGGCAAGGACATGTGGTATTTCTCTTTCTGAACAGAGCAGAATTATATTTGAAATTAATAACGATAACATATCTCTAACTATTTGGAAATCCATGGGTCAAAGAAGCAATCAAAAGGAACTTAGAACATATTTCAAACTGAATAACTTTAGGGGCCGGCTGGTGGCTCACTGGGGAGAGTGTGGTGCTGATAACACCAAGGCCATGGGTTCGGATCCTATATAGGGATGGCCAGTTAGCTCATTGGGTGAGCGTGGTGCTGACAACACCAAGTCAAGGGTTAAGATCCCCTTACCAGTCATCTTTAAAAAAAAAAAACTGAATAATTTAAAAAAACCCAACTTACCAAAATTAGTGAGAGGCAGCTAAAGAAGAGATCAGAAGCAAATGTAATGCTTCAAATGCTCATGTTAGAAAAGAAGAAAGGCATAAAATCAAAAGCCAAACGGTCTCTTTAAAGAAGCTAGAAAAAGGAGAGTAAAAGTAAATACAAAATGAGTGAAATGAGGTAAAGACGTAAGAGAGGAAATCAGTGATAGGAAACGAGCTACTGTAGAGAGACAGTTAAACTCAGGTGCTGGTTATTCTTAGAGACTAACTAAAGTGATAAACCCTAGCAAGAATAACCAAGACACAAGAGAAAGAACACTAATCACTAGTATCAGAAACAAAATGGGGATATTATGACAGATCATACAGACATTAAAAAGAAAATGAAGGAATATTATGAACAAATTTATGCCAAAAATTTGGAAAACCTAAACTTGTAAATTCCTCAGGGAGAAAAAAGCAACTTACTAAAACTGAGAACAGATAAAGTAGAAACATGCTTAGCCCTATATCTTGTAAATAAATTTAACTTGCTATTAGAAAATTTCCTAATACCAAACAAACAAAACAAAACAGGAAGGGGGAGGAGCTCCAAGTCCCCCCCCAGCAGCTGTGTGGTGGGCTGAGCTGCCTGACATTCCCCCCTCTCTCTTCTTTGCACTCACAGGCCTCGGCCGAGACTACGACAGTCAGCGCACACCCCTGTCCGATCATGTTCCCTTCCCTCAGGTCCCGTGCCATGGCGATGCTGCGGGACTGGTGCAGGTGTATGAGCGTGAATGAGCAGCGCTCACTGCTCATCCTGGGCATCCCAGATGACTGCACGGAGGATGAATTCCAGGAGGCCGTGCACGCTGCCCTGAGGCCCCTGGGCAGGTACCGAGTGCTCGGCAAGGTCTTCAGAAAGGAGCTCGGGACCAGGGCTGCCTTGGTGGAGTTCGCTGAGTATTTAAACCGAAGCTTGATCCCCCGACAGATACCAGGCAAGGGGGGGGCCCTGGACTGTGATCTTCCTGCCCCAGGCCCCTGATGCTGAGTTCCGGGGTAGAAACAATTTCCCTCCAAGGCCTCAGGAGCAAGCAGTGGCAGGAGGGGCAGGTGAGGCAGGAGGACCAGGTGAAGCAGGCTCACCACCCCTTGCTATTCCTGTGCCTGCACAGTCACTTACTGAAGGCTTTCCTTGTGCCCACTGAAAGGTAAAGCTCCATGACTACCCTTCAAGAAGAGTGTTCTTATTGCGCATTTACAGATGAGAGACAGATATTCAGGGATTTGTGCAAAGCCACCCAGCTGTGCTAGGTGAACCCAACTTTGCCTGATTCCAAAGCCCACACTCTCTCTAATGCAATGTTTTCCTATGTGGTGAAGGCTGGCTTTGCATAAAAAAGAACTGTGATGAGCCTCTTGCCTCATGAATGACCAGTCTCTGTCTATTGTGGGGGCTCGTGGAATGATGAGGTAGGCCTGTGAATGTAGAGTGACCTAGTCTGGAGTCCCACCAGGTGGCAGGAGCTGCAGGTGAGGAGGGAGTTGCTGCTGAGGCAGGAGCTGCAGGTGAGGAGGGAGCTGCAGATGAGGCAAGAATGTCAGATGAGGAAGGAGCTGCAGGTGAGGAGGGAGCTGCAGATGAGGCAAGAATGTCAGATGAGGAAGGAGCTGCAGGTGAGGAGGGAGCTGCAGATGAGGCAAGAATGTCAGATGAGGAAGGAGCTGCAGGTGAGGAGGGAGCTGCAGATGAGGCAAGAATGTCAGATGAGGAAGGAGCTGCAGGTGAGGAGGGAGCTGCAGATGAGGCAAGAATGTCAGATGAGGAAGGAGCTGCAGGTGAGGAGGGAGCTGCAGATGAGGCAAGAATGTCAGATGAGGAAGGAGCTGCAGGTGAGGAGGGAGCTGCAGATGAGGCAAGAATGTCAGATGAGGAAGGAGCTGCAGGTGAGGAGGGAGCTGCAGATGAGGCAAGAATGTCAGATGAGGAAGGAGCTGCAGGTGACACAGGAATTGCAGGTGTGGTAGGAACTGTGTATATGGTAGGAGCTTCAGGTGAGGCAGGAGGAGCAGGTGAGGCAGGAGCCGACGTGGCAGGAGCTGCAGGTGAGGAAGAAGCTGCAGATGAGGCAGGAGCTGCAGGTGAGGAAGAAGCTGCAGATGAGGCAGGAGCTGCAGGTGAGGAAGGAGCTGCAGGTGAGGAAGGAGCTGCAGGTGAGGAAGGAGCTGCAGGTGAGGCGGGAGCTGCAGATGAGGCAAGAATGTCAGGTGAAGAAGGAGCTGCAGGTGAGGCGGAAGCCTTGGATGTGGCAGGAGGGAGAGATGAGGCAGGACCCCGGAGCCAGCAATGGAGGCATACTCTGCAGCGTGTGCTGGAAAACATGGCCTACCAGGAGCAGACAACCTTTTCCGGGATGGAAGAGCCAGGCTGTGGGGAAGAGTCCTCTGAGAGGTGGCTGGACCACGTCAACGACATGCTGTACCTGTGCCAGCACACATCTGAAGGGGAGAGGAGGCGGCGGCTGGTGGCGAGCTTGGGCGGCCGCGCCCTGCAGCTCGTGTGCGGCCTCCTGGAAGAAGATCCCGACATGCCTGCGCAGGACTGCCTGGCGGTGCTCGAGCAGGTGTTCGGGAACAAGGACAGCCNAGGCCCCTGGGCAGGTACCGAGTGCTCGGCAAGGTCTTCAGAAAGGAGCTCGGGACCAGGGCTGCCTTGGTGGAGTTCGCTGAGTATTTAAACCGAAGTTTGATCCCCCGACAGATACCAGGCAAGGGGGGGCCCTGGACTGTGATCTTCCTGCCCCAGGCCCCTGATGCTGAGTTCCGGGGTAGAAACAATTTCCCTCCAAGGCCTCAGGAGCAAGCAGCGGCAGGAGGGGCAGGTGAGGCAGGAGGACCAGGTGAAGCAGGAACTGTAAGTGAGGTGGGAGCTGCATGTGAGGCAGAAGCTGCAGGTGAGGAGGGAGCTGTAGGTGAGGCGGAAGCTGCAGGTGTGGAAGGAGCTGCAGGTGTGGAAGGAGCTGCAGGTGTGGAAGGAGCTGCAGGTGTGGAAGGAGCTGTAGGCGAGGCAGGAGCTGCAGGCGAGGCAGGAGCTGCAGGCGAGGCAGGAGCTGCAGGTGAGGCAGGAGGTACAGGTGAGGCAGGAGCAGGTGAGGCTGTAGCAGATGTGGCAGGAGCTGCAGGTGAGGAGGGAGTTGCTGCTGAGGCAGGAGCTGCAGGTGAGGAGGGAGT